TCCTACAATTTTATGAAATGAAACCAGAATTTTTTTTTTCATTTTAAACAAGAAGTTTATTTAAACAACAAGACGCTTGACTTGAAGGGAAAACTAACTAGGATCATTTTGTTCAAGAGTAATTTACCCCTACTTAAAGACAGATCGCCCTACATGTAACAGCTACATACAAAAAAGTTATAAAATTGTCCTTGGTTTTACAATGATAAATGAAAAACATTAAAATTCTCCAATCAAACAAGGTATGCAAGGATTTTGTTGTTGGGTTCTTTTGTTAAAACGTTGAGAGCAAAATAACTTACTGGACTATAAAGATAAGAGCTGAATGAGCATGCCACTAATGGAGAAAGGGGGATATTTTCACAGAACCAGTGCTTTCCCCCGGCCATCTCCATCTGATGTCAATCAAAACAGAACATTGGCCATTTAGTTTAAAAAAGAAAAAAAAGCGCAGATGCTTGTGCACATACACCAGTTACTTTATGTACAGTAAAGACATGGGGACATGGAAATGAAAGAACAGAGAAAACTATACTGTAGTAGTCAGGATGTGGTGGAACCAAATTGCAGCTTTCTAATTGCGAATGTATTCTTGGTCTATAACAAAATTCTGGAGTAAAGTAGCAGGTTCCCTTTTTAGTAGACACCTCTTGTCTGCTGCTGGAACACATCAATTGTATCTTCATCCTCCATTTCCAGCTGTGCAGGTGTATCTGTTTCATTGATTGGTTGCCCATCAAACCGGAATCTGATCTGCCTCATTGACAAACCCTGTCGTTCACAATAGGCTTTCATTAGTTTACTAAGTGGTGTATGCCTCTTAATCTTAAACTGCATCACAGAACCATCCTGTCCCGCCACCTTCAAATTAATATGATCATTGTTCTCAGTCTTGACTCCTTCCTTGCGTTTCTTGTCGGCCATGGCGAGCGCTGGGGTCTCCTCAGCTGCCGCTTCACAAAAGAGGCACCGGGTCCACACTGAAGGCACACACCGAAACCAGAATTTTCTTTCTTTCTTTCTTTTTTTTTTTTTTTTTTTTTTTTTTTGGCGTTTTTCACACAGCATTGTGAGATACAGCACTTCACCAACACTCAGTGTGAGTGTTCTACAGTGTGTAGTGTATCTTCTTCTAGCTGGTGACAGGATACCATGTATCTTTTCATGTGCTTCATCATCCAGGAATGATGTCAAAGTCCGTTTTGTTTACAGTGTACTAACAGTTGATGAAGCACACCCTTATCTGGTCTGTTTTATGTCCATGGAGGGTTGGTTACAAAGTCTCCAAAATATATGATGTTCAAGTATCTTACATGAAAGGGCACAGTATTAGCATTTAACTTACGCAGTCCTCCTCTGAAGTTCAGTCTCTTGATGACTTAGTCCCCAGTGCCAGCTGAGTGTCCTCCAACAAAGTTTGTGCCCTGTAATTCTTTGAAATTCTTCCCTTCTCTATCACACTCCCCCTTTTCTAGTTTTTAAATAGCCTGTCATTCACTATGACTTTCTTTTTCTACTGAGTCAAGATCCCCTTTTGTACTGATAGTTAACTAATCAGTGATATTTTCGATTCTGTCTGAAAGGCATAGGCATGATTTCTGGTTCTTTTTGAGTCGGGGTAATCTTTATTTTGGGGGATGACTCTTAGTTTTGACTAGTTTCTGTGTAGGGTTGCATAACTACATCATGGCCAGACACTTAGAGGCATTCTGTGTCTGTTCAGCTCTTCCATACTTCGTCCTGATGTGGCCGGTTGTATGGTTTTGGACTTGCAGCTCAGTCTTTTGCCAGAGACCACTATATTCTCCCTGGGAATGTGTTCTGTGAATGAGGTATGTACTTCCTCCAGGCATCAGTTTGCTGCTTCATTTATTGACCTTTTAGGTCTAACCTGAAGACTGTTAATACATTTTTATATATTTGGTTTCTTAGGCTATTTTAGCAAAAGGGTAAAGCTAATTTCTGTTACTCTACCTAGGCCATTATATGTGTTCTTACCCCTTTATGTTTTTATTGTATTAAGGAACATGTACCATTTAAAAAAATTTTTTTTAAAGACTTATTTATTCTGTGTGTATGAGTGTTTTACCTGCGTGTCTGTAAGTTTTCAAAGGCTCACCCACTTCATGTGACCTCCTCCTTTCAGCTAGGCTCCACATAATCAAAGTAGTACCACTAGCTGGGGACCAAGTCTTCAAACATTTGGAAGACATTTCAGATTCAAACCATTTTAGTACCTAATCTCCTTTATTAGTTAGGGATTATTCAGACATTTTACTTGTCAAGTTTTGGTATACACACACACACACACATACATACACACACAGATTTACTTTTAATTAGGCACATATAATGTGTGTGGAAGGGGTGGGTGGGTGTGCATTTGTGAGTATAGGTGTAGCCAGAAGTTTCCTCTGGACCTGCCTGGCCCTGTGGTCCCACAGCCACTTAATTATAACTGCTTGGCCATAAGCTCAGGCTTATTACTGACTAGCTCTTACACCTAAATTAGCCCATAATTCTTATCTATGTTTAGCCACGTGGCTTGGTACATTTTCTCAGTTCTGCCTTGTCATCTTGCTTCCTCTGTGTCTGGCTGTCATCTCCTCACTCTGCCCTTCCTCTTCCCAGCATTCTCCTCGTCTGCTTGTCCCACCTATGCTTCCTGCCTGGCTACTGGCCAGTCAGTATTTTATTAAACCGGTGTATGGAGCTGGGGTTACAGGTGGTTGTGTCACCCATACTGGGTGCCAGGAACTGAACTCTAGTTCTCTGGAAAAGCAGCAGATTTTGTTAACTGCTGTCTTTCATCCAAAGTAATTATGTTTTTAAGTATATATTCACTTGCAGGTTTTCTAATTTGTTGGCCATTGTGGTTCCCAGTGTTCCCTTCAGATTCTCTGACATCAGTTCCTTTGCAATATCCTCTTTATTTCTGTTTCTAGGGGTCTTCTTTTGGGTCTGTGTCTTAATATTTATTATGCCCTTCTTTCTGACTTGCTTTAGCTTAGTTCTTTTTCTAGTTCATTTAGGCATAGTTTCTAAATTCTCTGGTGACATCTGTTTTGATGCTTTGATTGATTAAGAGTGAGCTTTTGGTTCCATGTACCGCAGATGCCTGTAATTCTAGGACTTGAGATAGCCTGGACTACATATCAAGGTCTTGTCCCAAAAGTACCCTTCAGAGAACTTCCTAAGAGAACAAGGTACCTACTTCCCACTGGTGTGTGAATTCACTGCTTCCCTTCTGCTGTCAGACAGATGGATTTATGCTCTGAAGTTCTTGACACTGTAACTATGTGTATCTGAATGTCTGATTACTTTTCTGAAATATGTCATTTTCCAAAATACATTTGTCTCTTCAGTATATTTTTCCTTTTAATACCAGATGTTATTGTGGTACTTTTATAATTACTAAGACAATAATGTCACATGGCCTTAATAAAGATACCCCCTCTGTAGCTGGAATTTTCCTCTGCCCACCCAGCTCCTGCAGCTGCTCAGACCCAAGTAAACACACACAGACTTATATTACTTATAAACTGTATGGCCGTGGCAGGCTTCTTGCTAGCTAGATCTTACATCTTAAATTAACCTATTTTTATAATTCTATACCTTGCCACATGGCTCATGGCTTATTGTTATCTGTACATCTTGCTTCTCATGGCAGTGGCTGGCAGTGTCTCCTGACTCAGCCTTTCTTTTCCCAGAATTTTCTACTTGGGTCTGAATGGCTGTGAGCCCTGGCAGGACTGGAGAAATCTCCAGCTACACGCCCTCCCCTCATTTCTTCAGGTTTTTTTCCCCCTAATATTCCTTTTCTGTTCCATACAGCACCTAACATTTGGTTGCCATTTTCTGTGGATGCCTCATGGCATATTTTTAATGACTAACATTTTTGAGTATTGTTCGGCTTCATTAGAAGATCTTTGTTGGAATGTGTTTTCTCAGGGTTAGGATGTAGAGATCAGGATGTAGTGGGCATCAGGATGTAGTGGGCATCAGGATGTAGAGGACATCAGGATGTAGAGGGCATCAGGATGTAGAGGGCATCAGGATGTAGAGATCAGGATGTAGAGGGCATCAGGGAGATGCATTTGTGTAGTCTCCTCCCAGACCCTGCTGAGGAACGGAGTTGTGCTTCTTGCTGTTGCTTTCCTCCTTTCCTGTCTCCTTCCCTAGTGCTTATCTAGAATTCTTTTATTCTGGTTAGGGGTGACCTTGGAAGTACTGTCTGTCAAACTTCCTTACATGATCCTTCAAAACAGGAAAAGTGGAAGGTAGCTGCTGTTGGTTTTGGAGAGGGTGCAGAGAAAAGTGGACGCTTGTGGGCTGTGGTGGGATTGTAATTTAGTAGAGCCTTTGTGGAGAAGAGTAGAGGAACAAGAAGAGAATTTTCAATGTAGTCCAGTGGCCCACCCCCGGGTGTATGTCCACAGGAATGAAAGCAGTGTGCAGAGAGTTGGCTGTGCTCCTAAGTGCACTGTAGCACTGATGACCATAGTGAAGATGTAAGGATGAAAACTGGTTGTCTACCACCAGGTAGGGGAATTAGTAAGGAAATGTGTACATACAGCGTGAGCTAGAAAAAAGTGAGGTCACCTGGGACAGTGCAGACGAATGTGGAGGACTTCATGCTAAGTCAAATGAGCCAATGAGAAGATGGCATCATGTGACCTCACCGAATGAGGACTCTTGGGAAGCTGAACCACAGAACAAGGCTTACCTTGGGCTAGATATGGATGAGGTGGCGAAAGCATTGAATATTGATCGTTTTATTAGAATAAAAAATATAATGTATTACACAGAATGGTGAATAATAGCAATGCCTTTGTATTTCAGAAGTTCTAAGAGTAGATTGAATGTTTCATCACTAAAACCTGAGTTTGTGCTGATTTATTATTATAGCTTAATTATCTGACAGTGTAAGCCCTGGTTAAAACGTGACATTTACCCTGTCAGTGACATGCACGGGCCATTTCCAAGCCTCCCCTTTCAAAATGGCAGCTAGAAGGAAGTTTGCGGTGAGGATGAACGCGAAGTTAGAGCTTTAAGGACGTCAGCGCAACTTCCGGCCTGCTGACAGGATGCCTGCGCCCAGGGGTTGCCACCTCATGAAGGGCGTTTTGTTTGCAGGAACAGGACTGGGATAACGCCGCCGCCCAAGAGGCCCCGGCTTGGGGCGGGAAGCAAGAGCGGAGGCTCCTTGTGGTGCTGGAAGGGGCCGGTCTGGAGGCAGTCAAGGTAGGGAAGCCTTAGGAGCTGCTCAGCAGAGACAGCCACAGCCCGTGTTGTTGAAGAGGGGCCGGGCCGGGGAGTCGGACCGGACATGCCCACCGGACTTCCTGATGCTGGTGGACAGCCCCGACGGAGCGGGCTTGCTAGGGTTGATGTGCACACGCGGAAGAGTGCTGATTGAGGAACCCCGGACTGGGGTTCCTAGCACCGTTGACCGCTTTTGTGGCCTCGTGGTTCAGCTTTTACGCAGACTCAGTGTCCGAGCAGCCGATGGCCCTCAGAAGGTTTTGAAGGTAATTAAGAATCCAGTGTGTGACCACTTCCCAGTCGGCTGTATGAAAATCGGCTTTTCCATCGCAGGCGTCAGTGATGTGCGAGAGCTGGTGCCCAGGAGTGACCCAGTTGTTTTCGTGGTGGGGGCCTTTGCCCATGGCAAGGCCAGTGTGGAGTACACAAAGAGATGGTGTCCATCAGCAGCTGTCCACGTTCTGCTGCCCTCACCTGGGCCAAACAGCACAGCCTTCGAAGAAGTGTGGGGGTCATTTGAGAACAGCGGAGCCCCGTCCTCAGACAGGACTCGTGGCATTGTGTCTGTTGACTCCTAAGGTGTCTGTTGGAAGATAATCTTCTCTACCAAGACGGCAGAGTGGGGAGCCAAGACCGTATATGTTTTTTGTTTTTCCTGTAAAGACTGTGCTTTTTTCTTTTTTGCAAAAACCAAAACCAAACCGAAACAAAAACATGTATGATTTTTTTGTTTGTTTGGTTTTGGTTTTTGATTTTTGGTTTTTTTAAGACAGGGTTTCTCTGTGTAGCCCTGGCTGTCTTAGAACTCACTCTGTAGACCAGGCTGGCCTCAAACTCAGAGATTCACCTGCCTCTGCCAGGGAGTAAAGGCGTGAGCCACCACTGCCTGGCAGTAATATGCACAATTATTATTTTTTAATTAAAAAAATTTTAAAAATTTATTTCTAAAATATACTGGTGTGATTTTGGGTGAATAGATACATTTGAGAAGTTGGGTGGTTTTTTTTTTTTTTTTTTTTTTTTTTTTTTTTTTTTTGAGCAGAACAAGATTTTTAAAAAATACAAGGAGTTATTTCATTTGTATTGTGGTATTTGAATCCTGGAGCCTGGAAGTTCATGATGAGTGTGCAGGGTTTTTTCCCTACTCAGGCTTTTCTTGCAGGCAGCCTTTCCTGCTCATATGCACAACCAGCCTCTCTTATTGTGAGGAAACTCATAAGACGAGATTATGGGTTCATCCTCAGCACTCCATGTCATTTATTTACCACGCAAAATGCTCTTCTTTCACACGTAGTCACATTTGGTGTCAAGGCTTCCACATAGGAAATTTGGGGAGAAGAATAGATGGCCAGCTCTGAAGGCTGGGAGTCTGAATGTCATCTTTTCAGGAGGCTAGGGTCAAGATGGCAAGTTAAGGCCTGGCTGAGCCACAGAGTGAGTCTGACACCAGCTGGAGGAACTTAGGTTCTTGTTTGAAAAGCTGGAGTTAAAAAAAAAAATTCAAACCAGCTAGGGATATAGCTCAGAACACTTTCTATATGTGTGAGGTTGTGGGTTCAGCGCCTAGTGCATGAGTGTGAGGTGGGTTCAGCGCCGTGTGTGTGTGTGTGTGTGTGTGTGTGTGTGTGTGTGGTGTGGGTGTGGTGTGTGGTGTGTGTGTGGTGTGTGTGTGTGTGGTGTGTGTGTGGTGTGGTGTGGTGTGTGTGTGTGT